ACAACTGATAAATCTACTGCGCTGTAAAACCCATGCAAATGTGGTCCAGTTTACCGGACCTACGAGAGTCTCATTCTGTATCTCATAATTCGTTACAGCAAACCTGAAATTCAACCCTGCATTAAGATGTCCAGTGATCGTGCTGTTAATATACAGATGTTATTATATGCATAGAGAATACTGTAAATTTAGATTGATCTTCGAGAACTAGCTAAAAACTATTTGAGAATGGTCGAATGATTTTACTTCGGTATAATTCTTCTAACTTTTCGCAAAACGAATTCGATGTAATCATCGGTTTTTGATAAACTGAACGATATCAGTCGGTGGGAAATTCCATGAAATATTACTTCAAAATTTTGATCAATGTGTTTTTTCCATGACAAATTATGATTTATCAATAAATTTAGCTGAAAAGAGAAAAACGATACACATAATGTGAGGTAAATTATTTAAAATACAGTTGAGCTGCTTGGAAAATAAGTAATCCAGGCCATCTTATAGATGAATACAAATCAACGGGAAGAATTTGTCGATATTCAAGATGTTGAGACTGCTCTAGAATTTGCATTAAATGATGTCGATAAGAATATTTCTGACTTCTTTCTACTTGAACTCCTACGCAAAAGTCAGATTCGTATTTTATGGGAAGAATTAATGGCATTGATATAAATCATTCATTCTGCATGTGTTTTATTCACCAAATGTAATCAGTTATTATTTATTTCAGTAAATTATGATAACTAGTCGAATGCCGGCCTTCTGTGTATAAAGTACCCACGATTTCTGGCTCATCCCGGGCAAAGAATGCCATCATTACGGTATTTGGTTCCAGAATATCATCAAGATTTTCCTCGCCAATACGTAATTGATTATTACCCATAAAATGTACTTGAGCATCTGAAAAGTGTTTAAGTTTTTTCCACAAATTAATGCATTTTGCGCTCAAAATGGTTGCCAAACACTTTTTTAGGTGTCGCATTTTTTAGGCCTTTTTTACACATTTTTTTTTACAACACCTTTTTTAGGTGTTTGTAACTTAATTTGTTATAATGAAAGTAAATAAAGCTTCAGAAAAAGCGTCGTGCATTGCAAATCTTTCATGTAAACAAACCTTGCATTTTTGATATGAAGCGAGGATCAATGAATAGCGTCTTATTCTGTAAATATCCGTTCAATTGCAATATCGATGATAGCACTTGCGTCGATGCTGTGAACTACAAATGAAATAATAAATTTTATTTATGTACTTAGTACGTATCATACGGATACAGCATACATAGTGCGGAAGCAGCGGCTATCATCATTATCACTAATGCAATGAACCGTTGTATAACCAAATGTGAATTCTTTGCTTGGCTAGCACTTTGCGGATACTTGGATATAACTGTTGCTGTCCAAATTTCTCTACATAATGCCGG